TTCTCCGCCGTGAGGGGCTTGCGCAGGACCACCACCGCTCCCTGCTGTAGGCACACTTCCTCTGGGGGGAGGAAAAGAGGCGCGAAGACAGCAGTCAGACGAATAGGCGGCCCCGGTCCCATGGGAGATATGGGTAAGGATTTCGACATACCAAACCCCTACGAGAGCTTTAGACCCGATAATCACATTGACAGTCCATAGCTGACGAAATCGCCCCGCTTCATGTGCCAAACTACTGTGCCGCGTACGTGCAGAACCATTGCTGTTGTTTGCGGTGTCGTTTCCGACGATTCGACCAGGCACAGCGTCGTTGAGATTTTGTCTTCCTCCCACGCCGAAGAAACGGTCACATCTCTGACCCAGCCATGCTTCCGCAGCCCGTGCAGTTGTTTCCCGTGGGCACGACCACGCGCAGTGCGACCGGTAACATTGGTCAACACGAAACACCACCAGACACAGATACACATGTGCACCACCGACGCTGTCAAGTTCAAAAAAGAAACCGATCGCAAAATTTCAACCACGATTATTTTTCCTTCCACGCTACAAGACAAGGTCGAAAACAAAAGAGGATCGCAAATCTAACCACGACATTCTCGCCTTGTTTGCTAGAGGAACAACGTCGAATCCAAACCCGATCGCAAATTTAACCACGTTTTTTTTCACCTTCTTCTTCGCTAGATGTTACTAAAACTGCTGTGATATTTTCTCACCCAGCCTGTCGCTCTCCAGGCCGGACAACATCACCACCGGAATATGGCTCAGTTGAGGGTCTTGTTTGACGCGAGTCAGCACCTGCGCGGAATCGGGATCAACAAACCGCGGCGGAATACCAAACGCGACAATCAATATCTCTGTTCACAGAGCTAACAGCGGGCATGCAATGCCGATGGTAGCGCCACATGCACATCGTGCCATACACAATTCGTGTCATGTACACATCGTGTCATATATACAAATCATGTCATATATACACATCGTGTTATATACACGTCGTGCACAAGCACAAGGCGCGGAACACGGCGCAGCAGTCGCGGAGGACCCAGCCAAGATAAGACGAAGGGCACCGGAACAACGCGTGCCACCACACTTTCCACTGTTGAAAATACAAGGATCGTTCGAATCCAGTGTGTCCTGGCTGCTGAGTTGCGTGTGTCGCGCTCTACAAGTCAACTGAACAACACCAAGGAAAATGAGTGCATGATATGCACACCGAGTTTCACAGTTGGACAATGACATTCGCAAGTGCATGATGTCTAGCCTGGGCGCCCAAGCGGAAATACCCTGATGGCCCCTACAGTTCCGAACGAGTATGTATTGCAGTGGCATACATTCGGAGCAGGCGATAGGTACTTGGATGTGTGTTTCTCCTCTTGGTTTTCTCTCTACAGCAGTCGAGCCTCGCTTAAGGACACCAAATTTAAGGAAACTCCCTCGGTTAAGGACAACTTTTTTTACACAGGCATGGTAGCTCGCAGAATTTACAACATGCGGAGGGGTATCAACACCAAGGACACTTCCCGACTTACGCAATCTTTTCTTAGCAAAGAACCAGGTGTGACTTTGTCCTTAACCGAGGATCGACTGCTGTAGTTTCAGTCTTGGGGACGCCAAATGCCGCACCTCCACACCATCGAGCCCTGGCATGACCACATCCAGGAGGATCAGGTCGAAAGACGACGGTTGGGCTTGAAGCCTTGCTAACCCTACTTCACCATCCGGGGCCACCTATTGTCCAGAAAAGAGACCACACATGAC